CTAGCCAGTCGATCCGCCTGCATAGGTGACCGCGATCAATGGGGGTTATATAAGGGAATTCCGGACCTGGACTGGGTGACCGAGGTTCTCAAGTACTGGCACCCCGTATGTGTCTCAGGTGTGTCGTATGCGAATTGCTGGGAGGAGGTCTCATAGTAATGCTCAGGTGATCCGTAGCTCTCCATGAGCGCAGGTTCTCAGGTACGTGACGAAGGTGTGGTAACCTTGGCCTTTGTGGTGTCTGAGGTCTTCAGGATTAATTCGATGCATTTTGTATAACTAGAGGATATCCTCATAGGTTATGAATATGTTTACGCAGACTACTCGTCTCTCTAATCTATCTATTCCCCTCTGGTGTTGTGTCTCTCTTCTTCCATCTATCTATCGAATCTATCTTATATGGCAATCAATCTATCAATCTATCTTCTATCTTATTATCCTACTCTATCTATTATCTATCTATCTATCTATCTATCTCTCGCTCTCTTCTCTCTATATATCGGTACCTGAGACCTGGTCACCGGTACCTGAGACCTGGTCACCGGTACCTGAGACCTGGTCACCGGTACCTGAGACCTGATCACCGGTACCTGAGACCTGGTCACCGGTACCTGAGCCCCTGGCTCCGGTACCTGAGACCCTGGCTCCGGTACCTGAGACCCTGGCTGTGGTAGTTGAGACGATGTCTGCAATACATGGTACGCTTTCTTCGCCAGCCATCACACTGGTCGAGACCAACGTATGACGTCTCTCGCTCATCCGTGAAACCATGGCAACGGACTTTACAGTTTTGAATTTCATAGTGGGTAGGAGCCGAATCGCCTATAGATCACATACGATTTAAGCTGTCGCAGCAAGCATTGCAGCGCCCCCTGTGCATCACATAGGTTTCAAGCAAATCGTGAGAGGATCTCGTCCTTGGTATATCACCCACAATCGATCATGATCAACCATAATCAATGACTCACTCAATAATCGAGTGTCAGGGAATGTGTAGTGTAGGAAAACACAAATGCTACAAAGATGCCAGGTTTTAGCGCAAGCGTGAATGCCATATGCGCTCCCCGTCATTGCCCCCGTCATCGCTCCCGTCCCGGTCCAGTGTCCAGCAGACATCACCATGGTTAAGCCTGTGTCCGGTGTCCAGTAGACATCACCATGGTTAAGCCTGTGTCCGGTGTCCAGTAGTCATCACCATGACATCACCATGGTTAAGCCTGTGTCCGGTGTCCAGTAGTCATCACCATGATTAAGCCTGTGTCCAGTGTCCAGCAGTCATCACCATGGTTAAGCTAGTGTCCGGTGTCCAGTAGTCATCACCATGGTTAAGCCTGTGTCCAGTGTCCAGTAGTCATCACCATGGTTGAGCCTGTGTCCGGTGTCCACTAGACATCACCATGGTTAAGCCTGTGTCCGGTGTCCAGTTCCAGAAGCCGACTCGTCGTCTTTTCCGCGGATAGGTGGCAGCAGTGTGAGTCGGTGCACGGTGGAGCAGGGATGCGACACTCACGCCATGGCTTCAGTCCTCTCTGCTTCCGATGCTCTGCTCAGCTTCCTCATTACTTGCCTCCCACATGCACGCATGCACCGCATACACCTCTCCTCCACACGGCCCGTCGAACACGTAATGCTACCTGCCAAACAATGCACACAATGTATTCACGCGTTAGGCTCTCGCTGATACACAATGACCTGCAAGTGAATGAAATAAGTTCATTAGATTTCGTTGAAAACTATGAATTCATATTTATCCTGTGTTAAATCCAAGAAATGAACTTACGATCGAAATTTTCGATCTCCCTTCGGGAAATCTTCATCAGGATGTGACGTCACCATAGGTGACCCCTCGAGTGTAAAAAATCACGAACTTCATGATGTCACCTGCTGCCAGCTATGGTGACGTCACATGATGAAGATTTCCCGAAGGGAGATCGAAAATTTTCGATAGTAAGTTAATTTCTTGGATTTAACAATGGATAAATATGAGTTCATCACCTGCAAGTGGGCTCTGTTCTCGGCAGCACGCCTCTATTTAACTCGAGATCTCGATAGGTATGGCCACTTCTACTCTCTCAGCCCCTAACCCTAACCCTTTAACCCTTCACTCTCTGCGGAGGGCGTGTGCGAGAATACTGGGTGATCATGAGGTCAGTCGAATATCGATTCCAACTTTACCAATTCATATTGCGAAACCGTTCGACTACGCCGATATAAGACTGCACAATGAAAAACATAAAAACTGTTGAAGACACAACACAAGAAGCCGCGAGACGCTGGAGACACAGAGAGGTTAGATGGATACCTCGCCTAACTCATGGACGGGGAGGAAAACAACG